CCTTTAGCTATAAAAATGAAACAATACAAACAAAATTTCTACACGGCCTTTGAAGAACTAGAGAAATAAGATTGCGCTTGCAAGACTTACAAAATTTTTAGAACTTAAAAAAAAAAAAAAAAAAAAAAAAAAAAATCTATCCTGAAAACTTAAAAGAAGTAGCCTAACAGTAATAGCTCTTCCTCCTACTCAAGTTAGAGTGGAAAGACTCTTCTCAGCTCTGAAGTTCATCAAATCGGATCTATGGTCCTCCAACAAAGAAGGTCTTGCCGAAGCTATACTGTTTCTTAGAAATAACTAATGCCAGTTTTTCCATTTCATAATAAATACTAATTAATATAAATAATTTGCTATGACATCAATTTTTTTCTGTAGCATATATTACTTCTTTTATATTAAAAAATAAGTTGTAACCCATGTGTATATGTTTACATATACTATATGAGGGAGTCGGAGTCGAGTCAGAGTGTTTAAAATTCCAGGAATCAGGAGTCGGTCACCTTCTCTACCGACTCCACAGCCCTGGTTAGATAATTTAAGTCATTATGGATTTACATGGCCACTATTAAATTTTATTTTTTAACAATATATGTTAAAAAAAGGACCTATTAAAATCAAAAACTAATAAAATTTCACAGTTTAAAATACACATAATTTATGACATTGATTCTTAAGCGATATTAGAATAATTACACATTAAAAGCCAGAAATATTTGGGGGGAAGGAGGGAAAAAGTGTAAAATTAATTTTGTGCATATTCTGAGAATTTCGAATATCCTAAGACAATTACATAGGAAAAACTCTTACTATGAAAAATTAAAAAGAAGACATTTCTAATTAATTACACAGCTAATTTTGCTTTTATTAAGAGCTGTTTCATAAATTGTGCTTTATAGCATTATACCTTGTTTATTTTTCAGATTCAAAATATTGTATAATAAGTTGCCAAAATGAAACTTTATAGTAATATGATAACGAAAAATAAAAATATTTTATTTTAATTTTATTTTTTAAATATAATTTCAATATATTACCATTATTTTAATGAAATTTATGAATGTTACGATGTTTAAAAAAAATCGTCAAAAAATTCTCAGATATAGGAATTAAAAATTTTCTATACAAATTGATCTTAAAATCGCCACAATATTGAGAACTCGCCATGTTTAGAACCGTCTAGTAAAAAAATTCACATCCCCAAAAGTGAAAAGTTATTTCAGAGCTCTTTATTAGAAACAATTAATTTTGAAATGCTTATGTTTCACTTCTTGCTTAGAAACTCAAGTATCCCATCATTTATATTAGAAATAGAAACAAATTATAACCTGTGAACCCATTCAAAAGAAAACCATATCGTCAAACCAGTGAATCGCCATAAAATGCTAATTCACAATAAAAATGGCAGTCGTAAAAACAAACAGAAATTTCAGATTAAAATTAAGGACCTTTTGCGGATTTTGGCCAAAATTAAAGGACTTTTAAGGGCCAAAAATTGATTCCAAAAAATCTAAGGACCGTACAAATCCTAAAATTAGAAGGAAGTTGATCCACTTATATCTTGTTTCTTAGATCTCTAAAGTGATTCTAATGAAATGGAAAAACAAAATACAATATGTGCTGAAGTTTAGCCAGGTACGCTATAAAAGATCCTAAACTGTGTCAACTGCAGACATAACACAACTACAGAATTTCCACACCCTCTTCTGTCTTACCTTGAAATGACAGGTCTACCATAGAATCTGAGCATGGTTCAGATCTCAGATCTTTGACCAGGGTACATGTTGTAATCTGCTATAATTTGGTTTTAATTTTTTAAGAGTTATGCACACACAATGAATTTTTTATGCCTTAGAAACAACATCACTTCAAACAATAGTGGGCACTATGAGCATTAAACAGCAGTATTAAAAAACTGTATATTATGCAATGTAATGTAACACACTGACCATCATAATTGACATCTGGAAGTATATTGATTTACAACAACTATAATAATGCTGAGAGCATAGGCTCAGATTCTGTTTCAGATGTTAGTGATCAATGTGTCACGATTATATGCCAGTAGAATACAGAGTCTTCTTGTGTGGTTGTTAAAGCCCCATCTACACGAGAAGACATACCTAGGAAAAAGTCACTCTTGCAGGCATGTCGCCTGATAGCATTTCATCTACACATGAAGACAGTGATGTAGCTAATGTGGGGCATGGGGTGACATCTGTCCCCATGCGCAACATACAGCGGGCGCCAAATTAATGTTACGAAATTTAGGATGAAAGTTTTTCCATTCTTGTCACACAGAAAGAGGCACAAAATCTTCAGTTGATCTCGGGCATTGAAAACCTTAGCTATGCCTTTGCATGTAGATTTTGTATCTAAGCTGCTTTAATCTAACTAAGCGACAAAAAGCAATCAAAGCAGATGATACGATTTGTACTCTCAACAAACGTAATAATTTGCAAAGTATTCAGTATATATTTCAGGGCTTTTTTGAATAAGTTGTAATAATAAATAACACTTAATGGCAGACAGAAAAAAAGTCATTAAAAATGCTAATAATAAAAATGCAGCAAGCAATAAAAAATTGGAATAAAAATTAGGGGAGAAATGTAATGCACACTCACCCACACACACACACACACATATATATATATATATGTATGGGTCTTTATACGTTATCATAACCAGCTTAGTAGAAGTCGCAAAATTATCAGAATGTACAGATTTTTGGATCTAATGGAAGCTAAAGACACATTGCTGCACTAAATTTTGTCTTGCTTCTATCATGCACTTAGAAAGTTAATCCTGAATCATATTAGTTGTTTAATTACACTTATGGTGAATTTTCTGCACAAGCTTAAAGCTTATTCAAGCCCTGAATAAATAAATACACGCATATACTTAGGGCTTATTCAAGGTTGGCGCAAAACATTTTGTCTTCCATTGCAATGTTTGAGGATCTTAAATTTTGCTGTCAGGTACCACCTTAAATTCTAAAAATTTTGCTATCTGGTGTGGTTGCAATGGCCCTGGGATTATCTGAATTCAGTTATTATTAATTCAAACAGACAAAATTTAATCTTTTAGTCTATGAATATATTTTAAAAACATATCTTTTGCATAAAGAAAGAAATTTCTATTACATTTTCTCTCTTCAACACACTCAAAACGTGACAGTGTAGTCGGCTGAAGTCTAATCATCACCAAGCGTAATGTCAACCCAAAAGGTTACCATGCTGTTTGGTATTCAATTACTAATATTTAAAAATAAATTGTTTTAGACATTGCTATGTGAGTCATACATCTCCTCGTGTAAGATGATAGGGCATAACATAAGGGGAAGCATATGATATTGTTTGCTAAACTGTTCTAGTTGAAAACTAATCTTATGTATTTGATAAATGCAAACGCATCAGTTATATACTTATCAGATTAGATATTTATGGTACAGCTTCAATGTTTATATTGTATCATAGCACATTTTCATAACAAACCTGCAAGCTTCAATAACACTTGTGAGGCAGCATATGCTCATTAACAGTACTTTTACTCACACATTTATTGAAGAATTCATACGAGTTGAAATTTTCACATGGTGTGCTCTAAATTGACACTACAGCACAAAATGACTGTGAGGTCTCCAAACGTTTGGAGATATTGTTATTCCTACATTTTGCATCCATGATCTGCTGACTTGGGTGATTTATAATATCATATCTATTTTTGAGGGTGAATAAGCCTGTTTTTTACAGGATATCCAAAAAGACAAAGAGTGAGAGACACACACACGCAGGAAAAAAAAAATAATAATAATAATAATAATAATAATAATAAATAATAAAAAAAGAATCTAGGAATATATGACTGCAAATGCTACCTGAGTGCGCTAAATCGCTTTGTTTACCAGAAATTGTATTGGACAGCAAGAGCCATTATCATTTTGAAGCATTGATACTTCCAGACCAAAAAACTTTCTTTTTGGTGACCAGATCTTCAGATATAACCTCCACAAATTTCTCCCTCAAAAGTTTTCCCATAAACCTTGTGTGGAACTGCAGTGTAGACTCTGACACTGACCTCATCATAAAAGTTATTGAGAAACCTCGTATTTTTTATCAAGTTTGTCTATCCAAACAAACTAACATTTGGAAGCTTGTACTGCTTCAGATGAAATGAACTTCCTCTGATACTGAAAACATATGCACACTTAATAAACATATTACATTCCTTTACTTGCTTTCTTTTGTCTTTTATTTTTCTTCTATCTGTAGTTCATTCAGGTTTGTTTACACCTATGTTTCCATGTAAAAATGCTTTATTTTTATATGTCTAGCCCATGCTTAATGTTGGACTATTCGGTACTAAATGTAATTATTAAGTTCTGTTCCATTGCAAATTAGAGAGATACAATATATCACAGAGGGGCAGAAGTTTAATTCAATAATTAATTCTTAAATTAATAGAAGGACTGCTCTCTTTATATTTTACCTGCATGCATTGCTCCTTTAATTATCAGAATAATAAAAATACATCTGACAACTTCTAAGTTTGATAATAATAATTAAACAATTTTCTATGATGCTGGAAAAACCTTAATATTAAAAATATTGTATTCTTTTATTGCAGATTAGCAAGGTAACTCAGAATGTAAAAATTTTGTTTTAATACAAGAATTTCATTTTATAGTTTTATATTAAAGGTTCACAAAAAACTAACCATTTCAGACTTTAAAACTTGAGATATCATGCATTATTCTCTTAAAAATATATATTGCAATTTTAAAATATTTAGACAAATGACTTTTAAAAGACAAAGTAAACTCATTTTTGCTGATTCAATATTTTGCAGATTATCAACTGACCATTACATCATTTTTTTCCCTTTTTAAAAAAATTGTAACTAAAAACAATGATTTAACTAACATAAAAAAACATTTTCAAAATCTAACACAATAAAATTTAAAACTTAAATAATTTCCAATATTATCCATGCATATTTTTTACCTGTATTAGGTTCTGTTGCTACATCATCAGCATCTGCTGGCTAAAAAGAAAATAATTAAATATAACAGATACATTTTAAATACTTCTAAAATTAATTTTATTCGCATTATGAAAAGAGATTCATACACACAGAAGAGTTAAGTTTAAAAGGATCATATTTCAACAGAATTAGCATTTTTTCCTAATGTGCGTGTTACTACATTTTTTAACCACTTGAATAAACATTGTGGATAAAATTTTCATTATGTGCACTTAGTTACAATCATATCCACAAGGAGGATTTATTAAATTATTAATGCTCTGCAACAGTTAAATCTGTATTTCTCTCTCCAATGCTTAATATTTATAACTTTAGGGCAAAATCAACCGTGTTACACAGGAAGGACAAATAACTTAATATTTCCACCTGAATGGCAGACAGGAAGCAATTAACAGAACACAGAAATTAGGCTAAGAATTTTGCTTGAATTCAGAACAAAAATTCTCTAGCACTAATTTTTTTTTAAACTTTTTCACTGATATCTGAGCATAAATAACTAAAATGTCAAAATTAGAAAAGAAAACATTTTAACTGGAAAAAATATAATAAAACAAAATAACTAGAATTTATTATACAATCTTACTAAGTTTCAATAAATTTTAATTAAGAGAAAGAAGAACAAAAATGTTTCAAATATTTGGGTTCTGTAGACAAAATAGAAAGATCAATGTAGTTAACAATAAAAAAATTATAATTAAAAAAAGTTTAGCTTGAAAAATTCCACTTGAAATATCCTTAAATATACACAATAAATAAATTTTGAACTGGTTAAGAATTCTTTTAAAATGTAGCAGAAAAATATAAACTGTATATGCTTCAAAGTATGAAAAATTAGTGCCAAAAATTATACAGATATTTCAAATGCAAACATATTTAAAAGTTTCCTACATTAACAGCTGTTAAATAGAATGAAATGCCATCTCGGGGCCTGTTGTTAAAAGTACCAACTCACCAATAAATTTATTGCTTAATACAAATGATTGCTGTAAAAAAAGAATATAAATATGTTGATTTAAAAAAATCATAAAATTATATCAATATAATAACTGAATTTCATATAATGTTGCTATTATGAGATATATACATTACAACTGCACAATATGAGGTTTCTGAATTTCAAGAGCTTCATTACTACAGTGAAAAGTCGTTAATCCGGACTCGTCGGGACTTCGGCGATTCCGGATTATAGATCATCAGTTTACATCTGGTAAGATGGCATGCAGAAATTATAAAATTAAAAATATGAAAGCGTAATTTATGAAATAAAGAAAAATTATGATCTAAAAGATATCAAAATTTACAAAAAAAAAAGCTTAATATTTATTTGTTTACTTTATTAAACATGTCTATCAATGTAAGTTGCTTCGTTTTATGTGACAATACTTTCTCTTTAATTCTATAAACAGACATCATTTCTTCTTCAGTTACAAAGTTCCGCTGTTCAAATCCTATAATTGCTGTGTTGAGAATACCGACTAATTTGTCAATCGAAATTTTTTCATTTTCAATAACCTCTGTGTCACTTTCTTCACTATCGGAAGCAAATTATAATGACGAGGAATTTGATTTAAATCATATCAAAGACGAAATACATCGAGACGAAATACTACATTTAATAAAGAATTATAAGCCAAATAAAATAAAAACATCTGTCCTGAAGATAAGGATAGTGCTGAAAGATCAACTTCCAATTCATTGCGCAACGCACAATGAATTGGAAGTTGATCCGTTGAAGATCAAAGTTGAGGAAAAACTTTTGGATAATGAAAAGTCAGAAAAAAAATCTGTAAAGTACTAGCTCAATGCATCATATGCAAAAGCTACGAAGCTAAGATAATAGTTTATTCCAGCTGCACTTTCAGAAAACAGAGTCCGAGAAAGTCTCATGCTTGAGTTGACATGTATTGATCTCACAGGACCTCTTGCATTAAAAATCAGTAAAAGGCATAGGCTATTCTGTTTACCCGTGCAGTATACAGGCATAACCACCTATAATTGATAATATGTTTGTCAACCCAACAATTTTTGCTTGGACTCCACAAATTTATTGCAAGAAAATTCAAAAATAATTTATTGTGGCAATGAGAACAATTCTGTTAGTTTCTTCTGAAATCCTTTGATTGGAAGGTGACTGAGCTGGATACAACTATAAAAAATTTCAGTGGATTTTTAATCTTCTGCAGCCCCTTGGTAGGGAAAATTTGGGAAAAGAATGATTCAGATGATTAGGGGGAAAAAAAAAAAAAAAAACTTTTACACAGTGTCTTAGGATTATCATAATTAGATTAAGAAGAAGAACTATTTTTTATAAGGGAGTGAAGCTACTATAAACTCAAGACTACTTATGCACATTCCTTTTTGACAATTGCAGTGCTTTATGGGTAAGATTTCTGAAGTGGGTGTACCATATTTAGATCAACTTGATTTGGCGAATCTGAATAAAAGATTAAGATATCAGCAATGACTTCGAGATATTTTAATGGACTAGAAATGAATACCTCAGTCAATTTTTACAGAGACTATCTAACGCAAGAAAATGTGATGACACACAAAACTGGATATAAAGTACTTGTTGGGAATGAAAACAAATGAAGACTATTTCAGTCTATGGCAAGAGTATTTCATATCTGTCTAGGGTAAGATGGTGAAATTAAAGTTGTACACATAAAAACCCCTTCTTGTGAGATAGTTTAACCCACGTTTTCCCAATCAAAATATGTCTAGTTGAATCTACAAATAATGAACTTGTTAAAGACCAAAGCATTTCCAAAAGGTAGCCCCAGATTTGCTGAAAACTGAAATTTTGATGACTAAGAGTGAAAGTGACTAAGAGTGAATTATACCTGCATCCAGATACTCGAACTAAAGAACTCTTTTAACAATGTCTCTGAACTGATTTTAGTTACAGTTTTTAATAGGAACCCACTAATCCAAAGGTAGGCAGAATGTTGTGTGTGAAAATACTAATCTTTAGATGTAAAATCTGACAAGATGAAAATAATGTTATAGTTTTTAAGAGTTGACATATTCCAACTTACCCCCCCCCCCAAAAAAAAGAAGTTAATAAGAATGTCATCAACAATATTACTTGCTGTAATCATTCCTTTTTTGAAAAATAAATTTTTTCTTCCCCCCCTTTTTTTTAAGTGAAAATAAATGGGTTATTAATCTGAAATTCAATAATGCAGGATATGCCTTATCTCTGTGTCTCACTCAGATATTTTCAACAGTTTATTATACTTAGTACTGCTGGTAATTGTAATAAATTGTCAATTTCTTCCTCCCTATTAGGTGTGATTTAATGAAGAGATATCCACAAAATCATAGCTTACAACACATTATTAAATGGCCTTAAAATTTCTCTGTAATAATTAATAATGAAACAATACTGTTTATCTATACTGCACTACTATATATGCAACTTATATTTTTTATTGCATTATGTTCACAACAATCATTGAAACATTTTACATTTTCCCAAATCGAAAGAAAATTTCACATACTTTTAAATTGTATGATTACTGCACAATAGCAGTTGAAATTAAAGCATATATCTATTCTTACTTTATCTTGAAGCCATCTAGCGACTTCTTGGAAGTCTTGTTCTCTGTGGAACTAAGAAAATAAGTTATAATTATTTACATAGTGAAAGAGTATTATGGTGGACTCTAAATATATTCATTAAATCGGGAAAGAACAAAATTAAAAATTATATTTACTTCTGGATTTTGCACAATATCTGGTACACTGTTATTGCGAACTCCATCTTCACCCCTGAAACAAAGAATTGTAAGCTAGAACCAGAAAAAGGAAATATTTGTTCAAATAATAAATAATAAACTTTTGTAAATATATAGGAAGAAGATGATTTGTTAAAAAATAAATCCATTACTTGTAAAAAAAAATAAATAAAATTTATAACATTTGCATGAATTTTCCTCTTTGCTTGCTTTCTTGTTTATACAAGAATCATACTCTCGCATGCAGACAGCCCACATCAACTATAATATGGAAGATATTTTTATTCCAAATAAATATTTTAAATTTGAAATGGTCCTAATTACAACAGATTTGATTAAATTTTATAAATTAATTTTCCCTCTTAAAAAGATGAAATTTTAAATGAAAGGGAAATTCTATTACAAATTATATAACTTATTTCTTAAATTTTGCCAGTTTAAACATGGACAGCTGATAATTTGATATAACTGAAATGCAGCAAAGAAAGAAAGGCACTTCACACTATTTTGCTTAATTTACATTTATACAGTTAACAATCAACCAGTGCTTACAGTTGTAAAGAAATCTGTTTACAAATCATGCTGAAAGGAAAAGTTTGATTACTATAAAATGTAATATAAATTATTATTTAATACTAAAGAAATCAGAAATCCAGTTTCCTTGGGATAATTTAAAGAGAAATATTTCATATTAGTAATTTATCATAAGCTGATATCTGTGAACTACTTTATCACATATGGTCAGGGTAATGTTTTTTACCTTGATAATTGTGGCTAGTATATTATGCCAAGCAGTGGTTTTACCTTTAAAATAAATATTGCATTATTACACACATTTTTTAAAAAATAGATATGGCATTATTACATGTATTTTTAATAATTATTTTTCAAATTACATCATGAATATAAAACTTTAAAAATGGCTATCAAGACTGTGGGAAAGATAAATATATTTTTTATATGCTGTTTTAACAATATACCTCAAATAACTTTACAAATTTCTGTAGTTGTAAATAGTACTAGATAGAATCAAAACTTATCTGATGATCTAGTTTGATCTAAATTATTAAAAATGATTTAAGAACAGGAATAATCTTTATGTGTAGATGCTCATCAAGAGTGAAGAAATATACTCTTCTTTTTTAAACAAAAACCTATTACATTGAAAGTTTACTTTAAAATCATTTCGGTATTTAGTTGCTACAGTCAGGTTTGTTATAACAACTGTTCTTGAAAACAACCATTCCATTACAACAATTGGTGTAGCATTTTCATTATAATGACCATTCATTATACGAGGGCAATCCCAAAAAAAAAAGGTCTCCCATTTTGGGGGGACGTAGAGAAAGTTTTAATACGGTTGTTGGCAACACTGTTGTGAGTGGTGCCTTCTCCGCTACCACACAAGCATGCAGGCGCTTCGCTCGGATGCTCAGTTTTGGCTTGGCAGCCATTCGAAATGGAGCTCCCGATAAATGTTACCGCCAAGTGCGAAGTGCGCGCAGTTATTCGATTTTTGAAGAGGGATGTTGAGCAAGGGTGTAAGCATTCTCCATGACAACGCCCGTCCTCACGTTGCCTGTCAAACCGTCGATCTCCTGCAAAATTTTGGTTGGAACGTCATCACACACCCACCCTACAGTCCGGACTTGGCACCCAGCGATTTCCACCTGTTCCCTAAGCTGAAAGAACATTTGTCTGGACGGCGGTTCTGCTCCGATGATGAGGTGAAAGATGAGATTCAATGCTTCCTGAAGGGCATGGTGGCAAGCTGGTATGACATGGGCATTGTAAAACTGCCACAGCGTCTACAAAAATGTATCGACCGAAATGGCAATTATGTTGAAAAATAAAGCATTCTTCAATCTTTAAAGTGATGCAGCAATTAAAGAAAATAAACGGTTCTTTGTATATCTAAAAATATAAGAGACCTTTTTTTTTTTTTTGGATTGCCCTCGTAACATCCTTTTTATTTAGGATACAAAAGGTCATTATAATTAGTATCAACTATATTTCTGTACAATGTGTATTACCCCATCATACCTGCCATTATGCTTTTCAGTAGACGGTGTATGGATCAAGAATAACTATAATTTCAGTTTTCAATTATTGTGTTAAAACTCATTCAAAAAAAAAAAAATTCACATTATCATAAAGATCACCATGTCTTCTTTCAATCTGACTATACTCCCACATAAACCAGTTTAATATTCAGAGGAAAAAATTAAAATCAGGGAATTTTTTTTTTTTTTTTTTAACTTGAAAGGAAACAAGTGTTTAGCATATCTTAGTTTAAAGTCTGAGTAATAAAGCATACTTTCCTGAATACAGAGAAATAATTATAATTAATTTATATTTATAAACAGCCATGCTTATAAAAATTTGATATCTTTGCTAATTTATATGAACAATTCTTTCTTCTCAAAGATAATTCCCCTATTTTATTAAAAAAAAAAAGTAAATACAGTAACATCTTGTCACTGTTCTTGAATTTATCTTATGATTCTGACATACAGCTTTTACAGACATGAAATCTGGCTACTCTCTATCACACCACTGCAAATATGAATTTTATTCCATAGCATGAATTTATATTAATTTTTCGAGAATAAAAAAAAGTAAATAATTCTCATTATTACTTTCACATTTATCACTTCCAAAATTAAGCAAACTATTTATTCTAGAATTAGAATATTTGTACTTATATTAAACCTTGTAATATATCTGCTTAGGTTCTACACAAAAGAAAATCAAATAGAGCTAAGTGGCAGCATGAGATAATGTACTTTTGTTCCTAATCCTAAAGTGTTCCACTCAACAAAAATTTAATAAAAATGCAATAGGATACATATTGATAAATACACCATATAATAATTGTACACATAAAAATATTTTGTTCGATGTCATGTCATCTAATAAAAGATTTTGCCTTTGAATGAGCAAACAAAACACCATAACTAATACTCTAAAAAACTGCAAGTTTTCTCGTTCTTGGTATTATTGACAAACATGAAACATCTATGGTATGCATTTTGGATATAACAGATAATTCTGTAAAATTTTAATACAAACAGCTTAACTTTTAAGCTTTTATATAAATACATACAACAATAATTCTTGCTCTAACTTCCTAGACTGAGCTAACATGTCAAATTCATCAACACTGGAATTCTCTGGTTGTCCTGAAGCTTCTAAAGCAGCATTTGGAGCATTCAGATCTGAAATTTTAGGATGGACAAAAAGTTATGCACAAGCATATGAAAGCTATTAAAATTAGGCAATTAAAAAAATAGAAATTATACTTACTCAAACCCAGTAACTGTTGCTCAGCAGAAGTAATATTTTCTTCTAGATCAATCAAAGGCTTATTTTCTACAACATTCTGCATTTAAAACAAAACTAAATTTAAAAAAATCATGATGGCTGCTTTCTTAAGACTGTTGCTAACAAAAATGTAAAACATTTTAAAATCAATTTAACAAAGTTGCTGGAATCAGGAGACTATTAACATGAAATAAGATATACAACTATGGAACAGTTATATCTTTTTTATTTTTATTTATTTATTTTAGAAAAACTAATTGTAAGTTGACTTCCATATAACCATACATTTTTTGGGGGGAAGGGAATTGAAAAATCATTTAAAAACTTTAACTTCAGATATAAAAATGAATCAGAAAAGATGTTGCACTTTGTTATCAATAAAATGCAGCAAGAAAATTATTTCTAATAACAAAGGGCAAATAACAGAAAGTAAAAGAAAAAGTAAGACCAATATTGTTAACAGTAAAGAAATTAAAAAGTACACACATAAAAATAAATTTATTTCTCACTACATGTTTCATGTCTGCCTACAAAATTTTTATCCATACAGAGAAGAATGTTTTAAGTTGTTCCTGCAACCATGCATATATTGTTTTCTGTATTTGTATTTCATTAACAAAGGACTGGCCTCTTATAGTATTTACCAAGTCCTGTACATCACTATCAAAATATTTGTTTTGTTAAAGTCACATGATACTGGATCACGGTTGTAAAAAGAATGCAATAAAATCTCAAAGTTCAACTCAGCAGTTATATGATGATGAGCTGCTAATGCCAAGAAGATTTTCAGCCAATACTTTTTGTCAACTAAAAATATACAATACAAAAATTTATCAAAGCTATCTTTGATTTATTGAGGCAATCAATGTCTCTGTAAGCTAGAAATGTAAGCAGAAGACATCTTTTATAACTCCTTATTAAAAATAATAAGAACAAATAAATAAAAATAGAATTCTTAAAATTTAGCAAAAAGTAGCATGAAAAACTTTACTGTTAGGAGTAATTTTTTTAAAATGTTTTATCTATAAATTTTATTAGCAGTAAATTATTTCCCAATACATATCATGATTAAGATACAATAACATGCTGAACAAGTATTAATACATATCATGATGTTTGTAAGATAATGTTCAGGGGTTATATTAATTTAATGTATCCCAGACTTTACTAAACTGTATTCTCATTACTTAGTTATTTACAGCAAGGTACACTTCAACCCTATTATATGCAATAGGCATAATAAATAAAGCTCTAAGTTGTTAGTGTGCTGTTTAGCACTAGGTGGCCACATGGCAATTGATCACAGTTAAATCTCAAACATGAATGTTTTATGATGTTCTTTCATTTCCTTTGTAGGAATTAATTTCCCCACTGTGCACTTGACATAATTGGTGGATACACAACCACTTTCTGATGAATGACTAGTCAGCAAGTGCTTAACCATTGCAGAATTGGGTAAGATATTATGGCTGACTGAATTTGTAAAGCAATTAAAGCTATCAACCTAAGGAGAAGAGATGCCTTAGTGAAAGATACAAGAATCTGCTTCAATTTTACATCACACATGGGAACAACTATACAAACATTCCTATGGTGGCCCATTTACTAATATCCATGCCATGGCTGAACTGCCAGTATTCAATTATTTCAGACACCCACCATTAGTAGGTTGCGAGGGGTGGCAGCTAATGCAAATACTATCTTTAGATCCACTGTACTCAATTCATAATTTTCAGGGAACACACGATAACATAAATAAAATGAATCAAAACAAACTGATCACACATTGGTATTCAATTAACAGGAGAAAATTAATTACAACTCTTAACTGCCATATTAGTTTTAAGGCAATATGGTAAAAAACACTTTATTTTAACATGGCAAAAATACAATGTAATTACATTGCAATTTTAATCACAAAGTAACTGCATAATCTAATTACAGTTACAATGTAACTGTGATAGTAAATGCAGTAATTATAATTACTTAATGAGAAAAGTAACTACCCCTGATAATTTCATTTATATAGCCTAGGGAAATTGTTGCAACAATAAATAAAATAATGAACCAAGATTTACAATTTAAAAAAACTGAAAAACATAATGTTCACCAACAAATGTGAGGGCAAATGGATCAAGGCACAACAATTTGTAGAACCATGCGTGGAAACTTACAATACTTATATAAAGCTATACAGGACAGAAATGGATAAATTGTGACCCTCGATATAGCAAGGATTTACCTAAATGACTACAACCCAAAAAAGATTTATTTATTATCGAAAATGAACAGGAAATAAAAGTACAAACCTGGTTCTGTTAATGCAAAAAAAGTTTCAGTAAGGGGCATACAGAATTCTGTTGCAATGAGAAATTAAAAGTAAGATTAGTTGGGGGGGATTAAAATCAGTTCCATGTACATTGCACAAAATAAGGGGGGGGGATAAAGTTCTATATCTCCCATTCTACTGGGCCAATTGACAAAATTCAAATTACCTTTTTCATGTCTTGAAAGCGTGACTTAGGATATATATTAGATTTATATATAGCATTGTTCTAACATAGGTATTTTGACACAAAATTGGACTTTTTCTGAATTAACATACAAGCTTAACAAAATGCCTAATGTTGGATTAAAACATAAAAAAAGGGGAAGAAACTTATGTAGCAGAAATTCATGTAGTTAACTTTAATCCAGATCCCAATATTTGGTACATGGATTCTTGCGCTTCGTACCACATGACTCCACATAAAAAATTATTAGATGATTATCAGGATGCTGGTATTCATCAAATAAAAACAGGAAGTTCAGTGATAGAAGTAGAGGGTAAAATAACTTTCCTTTTATCTAGAAATAAAAAGAAGGCAGTCCGTAACTTTTAGTAATCTTTTACATGTTTCAGAGTTAACAGCAACAGCCAATTTACTGTCCATTAAGTATTTAAATAAAGTATTTGAAATGGTTAGTAGTTTTACAAGTGAAAGATGTTTTGCGTATGATGGTAAGCATTTAGTTGCTAGTGGAACAGGTATTGGAGATAATTTGTATTCTCTTGATTTATGTAATGAGAGGGCTTTAATTACTGCTAAATATTTCAAATGAGTTATTACATAAAAGAGTGGGCCATTTAAGTGAAGGAGGGATGACCAGATTAAAAGATATGGTCGAAGGTTTTTCATTTAATGGAAAATTGCTAAATTGTGTGTCATGCATTAAAGGCAAAACGCATAGACAACCATTTACTAATGGAAAAGCTAAGCAAGCAAAAGCATTATTAGGCAGTACACGGTGACCTGTGTGGGCCTATGAATGTAGCATCAATTGGTGGTTTTCGCTACTTTATTAGTTTTATTGATGATTTGTCACAAATGACTTTTGTTTATTTTTTTAAAAATAAATCTGGAGTCTTTGAAAAATTCAAAATATTCCAAGCATTTGTTGAAAGGCAAACTGGCAAATCAATCAAAATCTTACATTTAGATAATGGTACTGAGTACGTAAACAATGAGGTGGATAAATATTTAGCATCAAATGGAATTCAGCATTAAAAATCCATTCCATTACACCAAAGCAAATGGGTGTAGCTGAACGTAATAACAGAACTCTTATTGAGCGAGTATGATCAACGTTGGTGGATGCTCACTTTGATCAAAATTATTGGGCAGAAACAGTGCAAACTGTAAATCACTGTAAAAATATATCTCCAACTATTGCAGTTGCAGGTATGACCCCTTATGACAAATGGTACGGTGATAAGCCAAATTTAGAATACTTGAGAGTGTTTGGATGTCGTGCATTTGCTCACATTCCAAAACAAAAACGTAAAAAGTGGGATATAAAAGCAAAGGAATACGATGATAAGCCAAATTTAGAATGCTTGAGAGTGTTTGGATGTCGTGCATTTGCTCACATTCCAAAACAAAAACAATTTTCAAACAATTTTGATTCATAATAATGCATGTAGATATCAGCCAGGATGGGACTGAGGGGGCTTCCCATGGCTAATCCCTCAGTTTGCTTGTAATATTTATTAATATATCTACATGCATTATTATGAATCAAAATTGTTTGAAACTTTAAACTTCCCGGCATGGTTCCGCTACGTAGACGATACTTTTACCCTGTTTGAAGGTAATAAAGATGATTTAAATAGAGTTCTTTCAACAATGAATTCTATTGATCCTGCTATTCAGTTCACTTTTGAACTTGAGACTTGCAATTCTCTTCCGTTTCTCGACATTCTGGTCACACGTAACACATCCAACTTCAGTACTACAGTTTACCGTAAACCTTCATCGGGTTGCCTTCCACCACACTTTAAATCATGTCATCCGACTAAACAAAAGTTAGCTTCATTTTATTCCTATGTTTTCCGTGCTCTTCAAGTTGCTCCTCCAAACTAGCCCTTGATGAAGAACTAAATTATTTAAAAGCAATAGCTATTGACAGGGGCTTTTTACCCAACATTATTAATCAAGCAGTTAAAAAATTCTCCATCTCAACACACTAAAAGGCACACTCTTGTTTTAGGAGATTATAAAAATTCTGTTGTGTCATTCCCTTCTTTCCATCAATTAGCTATAAAGTTGCACATATTTTGCAGAAATTTAACTTTCGGGTTGTTTACTCTCCCATCAATAAAATTCCAACTTCTACACTAAAGGACCCCATTCCGGATATGAATTCCTGGGGTATTTTTATAGGATTCCTTGCCAGTGCGGTTTAATTTACATTGGCCAAACTAAGAGAGCCTTAAAATTTCGCGTCAAAGAACATGAGGCATATGTTAGAAAAAAGGAAACACAGAAGTCTTCTGTTGCTCAACATTGTTGGTCCGAAAATCACACTTTCAATTTTTCTGCTGCCAAAATTATTCAAAAAACATCTTCCATTGGAGAACTGGATTTTCTAGAGGCATTTCACATTCATAAAAATCTTTCTGTTCTAGGTAACGATCCTAATTCCAATCCAAATTTGCCTTCGGCTTTTAGAGAAATTATGTTTTAGTTCTGGTTTCGCCAACAGATGGCGCCACTTGCTTATTCTTGTCCAGGCTTTCTTATCTTATCTAATCATTATTTCCTATCTTGTTCATTTGCGGTTTTGCAGCTGAAGATGATGGTTCGGTAAAACCATCGAAACTAGTCCTGTGAAAATTTTGTGAATTAACGCTGATTTTTGTTGTTTGACTTCTGAATCAGTATTTATTCGGCGTGTTATTGTGTCTGAATTAATGCTTGTTGGGTACTGTCAGGATAGAAAAGGCTATCGATTAATAGATCCCAAAACTTATAAAAATAAACTTATAAAATATATATAATGTACAAGATATACAGATTTTGGAAAATGAAATGTACTAAATAAAGGCAAGCAATATGCCAAAATTTTATGATGAATCCTCATTCAGTGGGAGCATGATTACGACATTTTCAGATACTGAGAATGCAATTGATGATGATCAGAACAGTGAATTGGAAAGAATGGTTAATGATAGTACTCAGTCTGATCATGAATTAGTTAATGCTAGTATTAAATCTGTCACGATGAACATAATATTGCTCAACATGATAGCCACAATAACAGTAGTATAATTGATGAGCTACCTATATTGACCAGAAACAGAAAACTTAGATTACCGAAAAATTATCAGGACTTTGACAAACACGGGATGCCAGAAGTGCGAATGCCAAATTTAGATTGTATGTGCTTTGTTACAGCTTTAACAGCGGCAACAAATGATGTGTATTCTGAGCCGAAGCCATTGATGATGAAGTATTAAAGAGCAATGATGAAACCATTGGAAGGACTCTATATGTGAGACTATATTATGTCATATTAAAAACAAAACATGGGAAATAACATTGTAGACTGTAAATGAACAATAAGAACATTGTAGATTGTAAATGGGTTTTCAAAATTAAATGTAATTCAGTAGGCAAGATTGAAAGATATAAGGCACGTTTAGTTGCTAAGGGCTATTATCAGATTGAGGGAATAGACCTATACTGAAACATTTACACCAGTTGTCCAATACGTAATATTAAAAGTTTTATTAGCTTATGCAGCTATATATGATTGGGAAACTAAACAAATGGATGTTGTAATGGCTTTTGCACAGGGAACTCTAAGACATTTATACGAAAATTCCAAATGGTTTCAGTGAATTTTAAAGCAAAACTTAAAGGGAAAGGTCCTAAAATTAAACAAAGCATTAGATGCTTTAAAGCAGAGTGATAGACTTTGGTACCAACTGTTAGAAAAGGGTTTAATAGAAATGGGACTGACGCAAAGTTCTTTTGATAGTTGTGTCTATATTAAAATAAATGGAAAATAAAGATAACTTGTTATTGTTACTATTTATGTTGATGACTTACTCATTTTAGTAATAACATAGAACTTAAAAATTGGGTAAAAAACAACTTAAAGAAAAATTTGAAATGAAAGACTTGGGACCAGCAAATTATTGCTTAGGAATTAAAATTGAACGAGATAGAACTAAAGGGTCCATTAGCCTTAGTCAAACTCAGTATGTAGAGAGAGTATGCTTTGCAAATATAATATGCATGAATCTCATGGTGTAAAAACACCACTAGACCAAAATCAAGTGTTATCTAAACTGCAAATACCAACTAGTAAGGAACAAAAGCTACTGTTCCTGTTCTTATCAGGCTGCCATTGGGGGCCTTCTTTATGCAGCTCAAGCAACACGACCAGATATAACTTATGCTGTGAATTTCCTTAGCCAGTTCTCCAAAAATCTGGCAAGGGTTCACTTGAATGCTGTTAAGCACATACATCATGCGATATCTTCGAGCCACTACAGATGCTACATTGTCTTTTTCAAAGGACTATAGTTCTGACATCCTTGGTTGCAGCGACTCAAACTATGGAGGTGTGCTGGGGATTAACCAACCACTGGATATGTTTTCCTCATTGGAGGTGGGGCAGTGTCATGGTGTAGTAGTAAGCGTCAACCAACCATTGCAACTAGTACAACAGAAGCCGAAATATATGGCTCTTTCTGCAGCTACTAAAGAAGCCATATGGCTCAACAAAATTGTTAAAGAACTTGGGATTATTACTGCAAAGCCAGTATTATTATACTGCGATAACAACAGTGCTATTAATCTCAGCAAAAATAGTGTGTATCATGGTAGATCAAAGCATATTGATATACAACATCATTTCGTGCGAGAAGCTGTGAAACTTCAGCACATTGACATACAATATAAGACAACTAATGATATGATTGCAGATTTTTTGACGAAAAATGTAAACAGTGCAAGACATGAAATGTGTGCAAAGATGATGGGTTTAAAATGAAGACTAATGTAATTTAATGTTTTATTATATGTATGTGTGCTGATATAATTTCTCATTGTATTTAATTAGGATGATGATATTTAAACCTAAAGTGGGAGTGTAAAAAAAAGGTTAGCTTTAAATATGTTCTTGGCCCATAGATGGTGCCACTGATTTTTTTTATATATATTTCTATAACTGTGCAATCCAATTAAACTCACTTGTGTTCCAAACTCCCAACAGTATGTTGTGTATTATTTATTCTCATGCATGTAAGTAACCACTCTCTGCTATATTGAGTTTCTAACAAAGAAAAACTGGTTCGTATTTATGGAAGGAAAACTGCAAAGATATCCAAACATCCAGACTGTTCGTCAGAATTCGACACCAAACAGAACTACCACAATTCAAAATAAGTCTTAACTACTTGTTTACTCCTAAGCCAAAATTTTAATTGCTTTTGGAGTTATATTGTAATAATAATTGCAATTATGTTATAACTCTAATTACAGCTGCATTAATTACAGTTATATAATTATATAACTGAAGTAACTATAGTGATTTTAAAAACTTAAATTTTAAAGATAAATTAAAGATCTTATGCTTTGCCAAATGACAATATTCTAAGTAACTGCTATATGTGACGGCACATAAAAGTTAAGATCTTAAATTTCGTGATGATTTCTGTTCATCTTGTCTGACAATTTTCAAGGCATGTTTCCTCACTTGTTTTCTGAAGACAATATTTTATATCATAAATAAAAACAAGGTGTAATAAACCAGAAATACTAACAAATTTAATTGTAATTACATTGTAATGCTGGTTAATATTCATACAATATCATAACAGTGGCTGTAGTTTTAATGTAATTATAAATCATGTAATTAGAACTGCATTGTAACTGAATTAACTGCAGTTCAGTTATTGTAATAGTATAATTTTTAATACAATTGCACTGTCATTTAATGACTGTAATTGCAATTACATTCTAACTAAACTAACTGCAATTACAATTACATTGCAATTGAATTAACTGTAATTACAATTACATTATAGCTGAAGGATTTCAAATTACAATTACATTGTAACTGAATTACTTAGATTTGCAATTAAATTGAAATTCAATTGTTAATATATTACACTGTAGTTGAATTATTCCCAACTCTGCTATTAATAACTAATCAGATTGAGCACAGCATATTTTCCATTAACATATAATTTTCATCCATACCTACGCCATAATATATACCTTCATCCATAATATAATTTTCAAAATAAATAAATAAAATGATTCTATGCTTCCTTAATGGACAAGCACAAAAATTAACATTTTATTTCATTTCTTGCTCTTCTATGCTATAATGATAGAAAATGATCACTTCTTAAGTGACAAATTACACTTCAATCAGTGACAAATCACACTTTGTTGCATCATTTCATTTAAAAATGTGACCGAATTTTATTTTAAAGTATGACAGAATTGATTTCAAATGAATTTTCTTTTATTTCAAAATGTGACAGAATACAAGCACTGATATCATCCTCAGGAAAGCATGGGGGAAATTCAAGGTCAACAGATTACTGTAAATACTTTTTCTTACATGACATGAAATTTAAGCTGAAAAATTCAACAAAATATGCTAACTATAAAATATGCTAACAACAGAAGTATAAATTTGTTCTTAAAATAAGTTACAATTTTAGAAGTTTTAAAACTAATTACTTGCAACTGATTATTAGATCTCTCAACTGTAGCTCTCTTTTTTTCAAATCTTTCATAACGCAGGAATAAATTATTAAGCTCATCATTAACTTGAAGTAAATCCTCTAAAGAAATAAAACCCAATTAATCACTAACATCTATAAAATACAAGTTAACATAACAAAAATATAAATAACAAATATTACAACAAAAAATTTTAATTATAGATTTAAAAAAGAAAAAAAAAATGCTTATTTACTAGGTTTGCCTTCTGCTGCAACGTAAAATATAGTGCATAACATTTATATACAATAATCCCTTGTTATCTGCAGAATTAAGATTTTTCAGTATTCTGTAGACAATGAAACTAGATAATGAGACTATGAATACACAGGAAATGACAGCCTGTTGTAACATTAACTATTCACACAGAGCTTGAATCATTTTGGATTGAACTGATATCAATATGATTAGACAAAAAGTTTTATTTGAGTGTACTAATCGGGTTTAAAAGCGTAATTATTGAATCAAAATATTAATATCTAATTTTTTAACCAAGGTTAAAAAATTAGTTTTGTCCTTCCATTCTAAATGTTTGGATTAATTCTTTCTAGGGCTTAATGCCGCTTTAAAATTTAAATTCCATTTTTGTGCACAGTTCTCACTCAAGATCATAATCAATTATCATAATAATTATCTTCTGAAAGAAAAAAATCATTTAAAATGTTTAAGAGAAATCTGGCTTAAACATTTTCAGTTCTATTTTTTCAGAACTGAAACAAGATCTAGCTCCTCCAGCATCACTTCCTGATCATGACAATTTTTTCTATATTTATTTCATTTATTGCTTTAAAAACCTTCCTACCTTATGTTTCTTGCTAAAGTAAATATATGATTAACTAAAAATGTTTCATTTGAAGTTCTACTATCAGTTACAACTTGTGACCAAAATTTCCATTAACAAGCAATTCCCATTATCTATTATGGAAAATAATTAATTTCTATCCCATAATATATTATCCTAATTATTATTTAATTATATCCCATATTATTTCTATCCCATAATAGAAAAGGTCCCATTATCTATCATGGAATTCATAAAATGGAGTAAACCTTTAAACCCAAACTTACAAAAGACTAACTTTCTTTACGCATGTTCAGAAGCTTCTTAAAGGACTACCACACATTACATTGTAAACAGACAAGCAAAGATCAGAAACTAAACAGCAAATAAATAGGCATTTTTTTATTACACCCATACCACGCATTTTGAGCACCATATTGGCAATTTTGTTTCCAATTGTTTTATCCCTAAATCAAACTTTGAGAAGGAGGGGAGAAGAAACATAAAATGAAAACAAATCCAGAAAAGTAGTTACATTTTTTGCACATTAAATGGCTAAATAAAATATGCAAAACTAAAATAAAAAATAACAGTAGTTAATAAACATTGCACTAAAAAGGAATGCATGATCCAACATCTTTTTTTCTCTATTAAGAATGAAGCCTGCAGAGCCATTTCAGTTTCAAGTCACTTCTTAATTTCATGATGTGGTTATCTGAACACAGTCATTCTTTGTAAAGAATACTTTCTTGAAGAAATGGAATACCAACTAGTCCCCCTCTTGAGAAATCTTAAATCATAAAATTGTTGCTTTTATATATAACTACAAATGACTACATTTATTGCTTTTATGTAATAATATAAATGATTAGATGAAAAAACATAGTTGAGTAAGTGAAGTTTATAAAGGCACTTATCACCAGAAAAGCAGCCAAATCAAATTTGTGACACTTAACATCTAAACAAAACAATCCAATGTGTAACCACATGACTTCTTTGTTTGGAATATTAAATCATACCTACTTTTTTCCTGCATTTCATTTAAACTTATTTCCTTGAATTTCATTAGAGATACAATTCTCATTCAATTAATTCAGTTTTCAATTCGTGACAAGGCAAAAATACATAAAACTTCAAAATATCTTTATTAAAAATTGAAAAATATAAAACACCAAATACAGTTGAAACAATTATAAAACAATTTTTACAATTAAAATTACAGTTTCTATGCAAAAACACACAATTCAGTCAACAGACAAGAAGGTAGATTTTTTGGCGCACAAAACTAAAAGTTTTCTTTTAATTCCACTCGGCAAAAAGACACTGAAGGTGCACAAAGACATAATTCACTATTCTGCTAAGTTTGAAATGTAAATAAATATGGCTGCTATGGTTAAAAAAAAAAAAAATTAGGCTTAGCCGCACTTAAACAACATTTATATTGTTGATAATTCTCCAACTATTGCATGCATGAAAACCTTAATCGGAAGATAAGAACAAGATAATTCAATCATTTTTAAAACAAAAAAATGCACAATTTACCAATATATAATATAATAATAAAAAAATGTGCTCACAAAGCTGAGTAACAGATTGGATATATATATATTTGGTACGGCCGACTGCAACCAAAAAGAGAGGTGCACAACTACATGTTATAGCAGTCCTATATACAAAGATTCAACGTTCCGAGGCTACTCGATTTTTAAGTTATGTGTGATAGATACATATATACATACACATGTATGTACAGACACCATGAAAAATATCTTATATTTTAAATCAATTTTATAGTTCGTTTGAAGAAACAGAGTCCTTTATTCTGCCCTTACGTACAGATGTCACACAAAAATATTGTTAAACTGCATTCGATAGCAGTCAAAATGGATATTTTCATTAAAATATCATACCTGAAAATTTTTGTGACAACAATACTTCCTTTAATTCATAAAAGGAAGTAAAAAGCACCAAATGATATTGCTTTAGCAGAAAAGTAAAATGCTCCAGCAATAAAAACATTAAAATAAAATAAATAAACGTGTCAATGAAAATAAATTACCTTAATTTTATGCTATTCAATTTGATTGCAGTTAATGTTTATTCAAATATAGTTAGAAACATTTGTACATAAACATGGAAAATATATCACTTATTGTGATCAACAAATTTGTTTAATGTTAAGTTGTTGTTGCAAGCTAGGACTTGTTGATTCAAATAATAAATTCAGATAATCAGGAAGAAATGCAGAAATTTTCATAAAAATTCCACATTACATAATAAATAGCTAGAAATAGTTTAAGCAATTTCTCCTAAGATAAAGGAAAAATGTCGTAAGTTCCTCTAACCACTCTTCTGTAAGACTGTTCAGTTAGCTGCTCAGCTAACCATTAAACCTGACAGCTGATTAAAAATTGAATTCCCCAACTCTCGGATCCATATTTATGCAATAAAATATTGGATAAAAAAATCCAATATTTTAGCTAATATTTACAATTTATTTCAGTTTTGATTTAGCGCAGAACCACTGATAACAAGGAATTGCATTTCAATATAATATTTAATAAAATCTTACATTAGAAATACACGATAAATCAGAAATATGGCTATATCTTTGAAATAAAAATAGCATGTTATTGTATATTGTATAAGAAACTGATAAATGACAATATTTAATTTTAAATTTCATTTTTTTCATTTCAGAACATGCAACAGCAAGTTACAATTTCAGCACAGATGCCTGCATTTCAAAATGATTGTGGGACACATGAGATGTACGATTTTAATGTAGCATAGTTGTCATAAATTGTGGAAAAATGGTTGTTTACAGAACATCCAGAAAGGAAAATTTCTGCAAGTATTCACAATTACCAGTAATTTATTCACAAAAATGACGCAGTAATTTTGATAAACAATGTGGAAGATATAAAATAAGGAGCATTTTCAAGCAAAAGTAAAATCTAGCACATATTATTCTTCAACTTAAAGACTGCTTCCCTTCTTAAATGAATGATGAAATGAATACTTGCTGAAGTTTGCATACATGAAATAACTTTCAGCTACAATACATTACACTTATAAAACATCAATACTTATAAAATATTAATTATAAAGAAAAAACAAAAATAAATTATAACAACAATTATATCGATATATGTAACCTACATGGCATTTTTAACATAATCTATAACAGTCAAAGAAAAAGTATGATGCTAAGTGAAGAAAAAATATATTACCAGTAATTTTTTCATTTCCAACTTTGTCTAGAAGCTCCACGATTCGTCCTTGCATACTTTGACATGTTTTGCACAGATCCTGTTAAATAGCTGGCACATTTAGCATGATACAAATTTAATTGTATTAAAATATACTTGATGTCGCAGGCAAATATAAATAGTATAAAATGAAAAAGAAACAAAATCAGAAATTTTATTTCCTAATTAATAAAACTGAGAGACTAAAAATTTAAAGAAAGAAAAACAATTCAAAATATGCTAAATACAACGGAAACTGAATAAAACATCAATATATTTTTTATTTATAATGTTATATGCATGAAAATTCAAATTAATTGCAGTTCTCCACACATCAGTACCTATTCATCTCATAATATTTTAAAAATGGATTTCTGGTAGTGTTCTGGGTGAAAGGAATGATAGTTAATGAAGTTAATCACAAAATGCAAATAATGGGGAGGGGACATGCTGGTATGTAAAACTTACAAAACATGGTATAATAATGTCTGGTGGCTGGCATCCATTTCTCTAGATACTACTGTATCTACAGAACTATAAAGTACACTATAAGCACTATAAAGTACTGATATGTGAAGATTCCTGGTTATTAGCAGTCGTGAACAATCGTTCAAAGAGGTATAACGTGGCAGATGACATGAAGTTAAGAAATTCTTGTACAGTTGCCTTACAAGTTCAATCTAGAGGCTGAAGTCAGATAGTCAAACTGTTAAGATAGGTTAACTATCACTACAAAAGCATTAACTTGTTCAAAACAGTAAATGCACGCATTTGAAATGGATTTTCCAAAAAAAGGGATGCATTCCAAAGTATAACAGCCTAAGTATAATATTGTGTTTTTCCTTCAATCTTACTGTTCACTAGATGCTTTTTCTCATTTATTACAGAACATACTTTCACAATCAGCATAGCTGAATTCACTGTTCATTTGATTTCCCACTTCCCTGTTAGTTTGATCTTTCTTCCTGTATTCATGAAAGCGATATTGAATATTTACAAATATAATGTCTTGCTGCACAGCTTCAAACTACTTCTTTTTATAATAAATTTATTTAAAAATCAAATCACATTTTACTCAAATGTGTACATTCATCTCAATTCTGGTCCAAAGAATGTTTTTTTTTTTTTTTTTTTTTTTAAATTTAGTGACAGACTATTTAAATGTTTATAATGAAACTATTCATTACAATTTACATATGCTACATAAAATTTCTGCATTATAATATTATTATTAAATTAAAAGGTACTTAAGTATTAACGCAACCAGACCAAAATTTGCATAAATCGCCAAATTTGGCTACCCTACTTACGGCAACCCTACGTGTTATACGTAGTTTTTCGTAAATAAATTATTCTTCTTACTGGTTAGATTGAATGCTCTGAAATACTTTAACTATGGGTATTTAGGATCTGCCCGCGAGTGAAAAAGGATGCTGTTGAATTGTTGCAGGGATATGGAATTATACCGAACGAACGTATTTGTAAAAATTCTCATAAAATGAAACTGTATTTTGGAAAGCAAATCTTCTCGAAATGTAACGTCGAAGAGTGCAATCAACATTTGGGTGTGAGAACCGGAAATTGGTTTGAAGGTAGCCGAATTTCATTTGTGACAGCGGTTTCAATCAGTGCTAAAAGCAACAGCCAAAAGATTTCCGCCGAAAAAATAATTCTGCAAACTTATTCAAATTCGAAACCGGAAGGGTTTAATTGCTGTTTTATATTTTAAAACAAAATAATATAAAAAACTGTATTAAAAATTATCTGTAATTAATAAATGTACATTTTATTCTATTCATACTTTTTTACTCAAACTTACAAATCGCGCCAACCTGGTTGCGATAATACGTAAGTACCAATTAAAATTTCCTAATTATCAAAACTTTATTTAAAATTGTCACTGAAGAAAATTTTAATGGATTTTTTTGAGTTATTCCCTACAACTAGAATTACAAAGACTCATTTTTAAAAACAAATGCTTCTTCAAAAAATAAGTTAATTTGTAATTTTTTTTCTTCAAAATACTACCTGTAACAGCTCAAGATCGCTCTGATGCTCTTTGCCTGGTGTCAGTTCAGTAAGCATTTCTCCAAAAACTCTCATATTTCCCTGAACTATTTCTAGTTCCTTTTTAAGTTTCTCCATTTGTTGTGGATGAATAGAACCAGGCTGATCCTGTCAATGATAAAATAATTCAATATCACCATGTCTGACTTAATGAGATACATAGTAAAGAATTCTATGTCGAAAATGATCTTAAAACTTTCTTTACTTCTGCACACACTCCAAACATTTCACAGAGTAAAATAAATTACAGAATTATTTAACAAGTTATGTGATTTATTTGATTATGTATTACTGAATTTTAAACTGCCTATTTTTTATCATGCAACATTTACTATGCCCTATTTTAAATAAATTCAGTTTTATTTACAAATAAAGAAATATAATTACAGAATCATTAAAAACAAATGCTTTTTTATAATTACTCTTGTCAATATGGCTCAAATTCAAATATATACAATGTGCCAAAAAAAAAAAAAAAGAGAGAGAGAGAATTCTATATCTCTCGTTCTACTAGGCCAACTGACAAAATTCAACTTGCGTTTTTCATGTCTCAAAAGTGCGATTTAGAACATGTATTAAATTTATACATAACATTGTTCCTATATAGGTATTTTGACAGAAAATCAGCCTTTTTCTGAAATAACATATCAACATTTTCCATATTTCTATTCTATGACTCAAATTATGCTAAACTGCCAAGTTTTGTAAAAATCGCACAAGTAGTTTTTAAAAAATTAATTGAATCTTGTATATATTTTATTAATACCTCTTTATTTTATTTAAAATTTGATTCTTCCTTTCACATTTCAAAATTTAGGCTCTTCCAAATAAAAATTCACCTATTTTTTATGATTTATTTTAAAAATTTATACTTTAATTATTTTTTATAATTTTTATAAATTTTTTGAAAAAAAATTGAAATATAACTTCTGAAATTTTTAACCATCATTTTAAAGCAGATGCATTTCTAAGCATACCTGCAAAAAATTAAAGTTTTTTATTTAAAATTTCCTAGGATATACATGAATTTACATATTTGTTTTTTGAAATTTGGCATACTTGTTATAAGCAATAATAATGCCAAACGTGGTTTACACACTTTGTTAAAATTATTTGAAAGTATGAATGATGGCTTTTTTTTCGCTTATCTGCAAGGAAAACAGGTTGCTATAAATTAAGAAGGAAAACAGGTTGCTATAAAAGGAAAATAAGTTGCTATAAATAAGAAAGTTTGCCAAATAAATTACTCTTTGTGCAAACTGATAAAAATGAGCCAAGATAAATTTTTAAATTTATGATTATAAATTCTTCATAAATTTAAAACCAAATTTTAAAAAATCTAATATTTAGTCATACTTTAGGTCGTAAAAATGTGGCAAAAATTGGCATGTCATTTCAGAAAATGCCCAGTTTTGTGTCAAAGTACCTATGTTAGAACAATGCTATATATAAATCTAATATATAACCTAAGTCGCACTTTCCACCCATGGAAAATGCAATTTGAATTTCGTCAATCAGCCTAGTAGAATGGGAGATATAGAACTGTCTCCCCCTTTTTTTGTGTGTGTGCAGTGTACATATATATATATATATAATATGTGTGTATGTGAGTAAGATATCAAAATTTATTGAAGGGAAATTCATTGCCAAACTAAGCTTAAGAAATGGTCTTTTAAATTCTTAAGGCCTGTCCACAAGAGTAAGCTCGCAACATAGTTGCTGCTATTTTTTTTTCCTGCCAGCATAAATCCCACTTTTTTAAACTCAAACTGCACCAATGCCACATTACAAGGCAAGTACTAAATACTCTTTCTCTTTGCAGATCCTGTTATAGCTACAGAGTTAGAAACTCTTTTTGACATAACTGAAAATTCAATTCTTTGAATTTAATAAGAGAGTTGTAATAACAATTACTTGCAAAAAAAAAAATAAGCTGGATCAAATTAGAAAGTTAAGGAAGAGCATACATTTTTATGTTAACTGAACTTAAGTTCTTCAGAATCTAATTCTTTATCTTTTTCCCATTGAAAACTTACATAAGCAACATCCCATTCCAAACAAATATATCTTAGAGCTTCACTTATTTTTAGGTCAGATGTAAAATTCCCCCCACCACCACCACCAAAAAAAAAAGCTGAAGAAAGCATGTTATGGATAATGCATACTTGCCAACCTATGACACTCAAAAATCGGGAGATTTTTTTAAGAAATTGGGAGATTTTTCACAATTTTAAAAAGACTTTTTAAATGAGGAAAATATAGTTTTTAATAATGAATTAACTTTAAATAGTAACTAATTCTTAAATGCAAGCAACACAGAAATACCTTACACATAAAAAACATTTTTATTACTTGTATCGTTTAAAAAAAAAAAAAAAAAAAAAAAATTAATCAGTTTTTGTACAAATGTTATAAACAGTGGCAGATTTTGCTTTCTTTAAGAAAGAAACTTCATAATTTTGTTCACAGCAATTGCCACGTAGGCCTGCTTTCGCTAATAAAAGTTTTTCTAATGTGTCATCACTAATATTAGATCTAAATTTAGTCCTCGTTTTTCGCAACAACACTGAAAATCCTCTCACACTCTGCATTACTATGGGGAACTGTCAAGATGGCCAACATAATTCTAGACAGTTCACTATATTTTAAAATTCCATCAGCATCCTTTCAGTTTTCCAATTAAACTCCACTGGGTGTCAATCCTAGCTGATTTTATAACTTCATCCAAGTTTTCTAATTGTAAACTGCTGTTATGCAGCTGTTGGAACTGTTTCAATTTTTCCTTCCTTTTAGAACTCCTTTCAAGATAATAATAAATATCAACAATGTGTTCATCCACATTTATTGGTAAAGAAGCTCCCCTTTTTCATCTGCTAAATTTAAGAGGTGACAGGTGCAACCTCATAATCTGCAAATCTGAATTTTCCTTTCTTAAGATGCCTGCAACACCAGTCTTCAAGCCTACCAATACTGGTGCATTATCGGCACCAAGTGCTAAGCAATTATCCAGAGGGACTGCATTTTCTTTTAAAGTTTTAATAATTAGCTGTGCTATATTAAAGCCTGTCAAATGTCCTTCTAAAGTGGGGACAGAAAGTAAACTGCACTCAATTTCTGAAGACTCTGGATTAAAAAAAGAAACAACAATTGGATACAGTTTTGAATCGGTATTATTGCTTCCATCCGTAGAGAGGCAGAACGGAGCTGTTTTAATGCAATCAATAACTGAAGATTTATTTTTCAAATCCATTTCTTTAACAATTGCACCTCTTTTGGTTCTTGCACTTGAGTATTTCTTAGCGATTTCACTATCGAGGAAACATTTTTCTAAATAAAGCTGCAGCGTGATCCGATGCATTCAGTGGCAGGTTGTGCTCCAGTAAAAAGCCAGAGAACAGACATTCTGCATTAATAACTTTTTGGTTCTTTATTTCCGAAGAAAAATTTAATTTTTCGTTTTTTTCAAAACAGCTCATGTTGCTTTTGTGTTTTTGCGTACGCACATGTTTGAGACCATCCGCCCTTCCACCATGCGAAATTGAAAAATCGCAACGACAGGCAGTACACATCGCAAATTTATTACATTTCCTTGAAGAAATAATGGAAGGAAAGTCAACTGTGAACGATTTTTGAAACGTAAACGAGTATTTCACCTTTCTCGCAGATTTAACAAAAGATGATAATTTCTAAAACTATTTCCGAAGAAGGCACGTGTACTCACACAACTCAGGACAAAATGACCGAAATAACTAAAAAGAACATCCAAATAAAAGCAGCTTGTTTTGTCCTCATTGGCTAATATATGCCAGATGACACGCAGTGGAGCACGATGCCCATTGGAGAACTGGAGAAGGACGTTTCTGGATACGTATATGCTCTCACTCACAAAGCAGAAGTTATCTAATTCGCAAGGTTTTGTTTTAGATATAATCTAGAGAAAATTCATTTGCTTTCGGACGTCCAAAATCACTTTTTTTGTTCATATAACAAAGTATTAAGCCAAGTTCCATAAAAATCGTGAGAAATTTTAAGAATAAGAAAAAGTCGGGAGAAATATATTGTAAATCGGGTTGGCGGGAGAGCGGTCGAAAATCGGGAGTCTCCCGCCTAAATCGGGAGAGTTGGCAAGTCTGATAATGTCAACCAATGCATTGTCACTGGCAAGATGACTGGTGTGATTCACAGCCAGCAGGTGTGTGAAATGGTATACAGAAATCTAGTCAGTCAGGAGAAAAATCACTTTTATAGCTCATCTGAATTTTTTACCCCCTTTTTAAGTAAGTATATTCTCCATGCCTGGACTAGCTTTTTTTGGGGGGGGGAATGGTCCGGAGATCTGGATATTTGACAACCAGATTTCAAACATTGTACTGTAACTATGATACGATAAATTACATTACATCAAAACAAATACTTGAGATACTATTTTAAATTAAGGTTTCTTATTTTATGTCCAAAAATACTTTTAATTTTTAAATTTCATGAATAAAAAAAGATAATAATAGTCTAAAACATAATCATTTTAATTAATATATAGAAATAATATCATGGCATAGAAAGAAAAATATTACCCTGGGCTGCACTTCTTGGTGCTGTGGCTGAACTGGAGGAGGCATCGGAACTGTCTGGAGAAAAAGAAATAAGATTATGGTAAATGTTAAAAAATAATAATGAAATGAATTTTTAAAAAATGTATGGTCTAATAGAAAATAATTAAATAAAACCAAATATTCCACACCCAAATGTAATATATAACTCAATAAATATCTTTTACCAACTAAAAGAATGCTGCGAATATATAAATTATCAGTTTAATATACTATAAATAAAACATTTACTTGTTTAACCGATTATGGCAAAGTATATGCTATGAGCTAAATACAGGGTTAGCAAGAATAAGTTTTCCACTTCAGAGGGTTCTAGAATATGCATATTTTTCCAAATGAGATAAAATTTGAACTACAGATATTTCAAATGATGCGCTTGACATTTATTAAAAAATTTTAGTACAAAAATCTGCCAATAGGTGGCGCTATAACAAAAAATGGTATTTATCTGCATAGATTGAAAATATAAGAAACATCATTTGCATTACAGCGCATGCCTATTAGCATTAGTCTTTGGATAAAAAGAAAATGGATTCTGCTGCATAAGCATTAGTTTTAGTACAAAAATTCGACAGGTGGCGCTGTAACACACACAAAATATTTAATATGCTTTGTTAAATAATATAAAAAAGTAACATTATAGCTGCTGAATATGTCCCCCTTCATGTTCAACAATGTGCTCTAATTGCAGAACCATATTTTCCACAGCTGACTGAAGTGAGTCTGACAAAATACCAATAACATGGTGCCCTATGCTGTCCTTCAGATCTGGCACAGATGCTGGCTTTTCAAGGTAGATACTGTCCTTCAGGAAACCCCACAGCCAAAAGTCACAGGGAAGATATTCGACGAATGAGGAGGACATGCTGTTTGAAAATGCCAGCTGATCATCTGTTCATCTGTAAAATGCTATCTTAGTAAGTGTTTTCTATGAAGATCAGTGTGAGGAGATGTGCCATCCTGCATGAAAATGATGTCCTGAATGCATCTGCACTGTTGAAGTTGTGGGATTACAAAATCCCTTAGCATATTATGATATCATTGACATGTGACAAAACAAGTTTGGATTCCATTTGCAGTTATCTCTTCAAAAAATATGGTCCAATGATAAAGGTAAAAAAACTATCATGACTACTACTATATAAAACCACACCATACTTTCACTTTTTCGGGATAAAAGGCTTATTCCTGGATGGTATGAGGGTTTTCCACTGCCCAAATTGTACAACTGTGAGTGTTAACTTGTCCACCGAGGCAAAAGTAGGCTTTATCAGTCCGTAGAATGTTTCATGGCCAAGTGACACCAACCACCATTCGAGCAAGGAACTGTACTGCAAAAATTTTATTAACCTCTGAGTCCCTGTCCTGCAATAGGCTTGATTTTGTAGGGATAAAAATTCAAAATCTGTCATAAAATTTTTCGCACAGTGGAATACGGCATATCCAATACATGGAAAACAACTGGCACACTTACACTAGTATGCAATGACATACTGCTGGCTTAATGACCACAGTAGCCACATTTTCGATGCTTGAAGACTGGATTTGCTTTTATTCTCTACCTGGAAGAATGCAAAGTTGCCCAGTTGCTTCAAATTTCTTTATCATCTTGCATAGAGCACATGAAGACATTGCACCTTTTCGTATCTTGCTTCATATGATGGAATCTGCTGGTTCTGGTACAACAATTTTACCAGTAGTGCTTTTCTTGCAATGTAGGCATGATGTGCAGAGAAGTAACTAATGCTTGTGCTGAATCCACTTTCTTTTTATCCAAAGAATAATGCTAATAGGCATTGCGTTGTAACAAAAATGATGTTTCATATATTCAGTCTATGCAAATAAAAACTATTTTGTGTTATAGGGCCAATTATTGGCAGATTTTTGTACTAAATTTCTTTATTTAATTAATGTCAAGCGCATCTCTTGATTTATGGAAAACAAATTTTATCTCATTTGGACCAACAGAATGCATTCTAGAACTCTCTGAAGTGGGATACTTATTTCTTGCTAATCCTGTACTACTTAAAAAAAAAAAAAAAAAAAAAAAAAAGACAGACATGTGTTTATAGAGGCTATTTGTAAATAAATTGGTTAATTTTTCTGCTACACATGGAGAAACCATGAAAACAACTGAGCTGAAAGCCTACTTGCCAGGCTGAACCCAAACTGAACTAACAATGTTCAAATGTCATATCCACTCAGCAATTGGTGCCATAATTGGTAAGCTATGGATAGTAAATAAGTTCCTAAATTGTGGTAAATGATACATTTTTTCTCCTCTTTACTACCCATACTTAAAAAACCTGAATTATGATCAACAAAATGACGACATATGCATCTATTAATGGCATATAATACTACAAAAGGTTTTTTCTTTAGTAAAGCCCATAATAAGAAATCATTGAATGAGTATATGCATTAACAGGTCTAGTAGTTGATAAAATGCTATTCAATACATCACATTATTTTCGGTTAATGTTTCATGATGTTTTTAACAATGCAAAAGTAGAAAATTTATATTTCAACAATGCAAAGTACATATTACAATATGTACAGAAGCAACCATAAAATTCATATTGATATTATACTGAACCCATATTAAGAAGGCTATAATAAGAGGAAAAATTACCCTTGAAGGTGTATGAATTGGAGCCATTGTATCTAAATCAGATGATGGAAATTCAATACCCTTTTGTTTTAGATCGGTATATACTTGCACAACACCCTGCATCTCCGGATTAGTACGAAATGCTTCAGCCCAACTCTATGCAAAGGAATTCAAACATTTAATATCAGACACAAAATAATAATCCATAATTTAAAATACTACATGTAAGGATTACCAATAAATAATAAAAAAAATTTAAACAATAGTATTTATACCTGGATTAAACTAAGCACTTTTTCTTGAACAGCAGTGGGAGGATCATTTTTTGGTCCTATCAACTTTACTAGGTCTTGAACAAAATCTTTCTGTGTAACAAGCAGTTGAAAACGTTTCCCACAGTTTTTGACACAAGTTTCAAGAACCTAATATTTATAGATAAATTATACATAATGTACATATATATACATACATATAAATATATATACATATATAATCTATTTTCTTACATTACAAATTATATTCAAAATATATATATATAGCATAATAATCTATTTGTACTATATATCTATTCAATTATATAACTTATACATATATGTACAAGTGTGGCATGTGAAATATATATATATATATAGAAATTTTATTTTTCTAATAATAAATTAACAACAAATAACAATAAAATAACTTTGTTCCCATTTTCATTCTAAAAATAGCAAAGCAATAACTTTTCTAATATAATCTTTACTTCCTGTAATTCTGAAAAGTGATCTGTCATTTAATCTCTACTGCACAATTATAAATGAAATGACATGCTGCCTTCAAAAAATATATTTTTAAATTTACTGGATGTAAAGATTTCTTTAAAAACAAAGCACAGTAATGTTGGTTTGATTTGTGTTGGATTAAATAAAACATTATGGGTCATCAATATTGCTACTACTTTAAACCAGCTCTATCCAACACTGCATATTCTGCGACTAGGGAAGTAGTTAAAGGCATGAAAAACAGACACATTAATCAGTCTGGGCTTTTCAGCAGACAGTCCAAGTTGGTAATGGTTTTATATGTATTTTTGTTTATTTGAATGAAGGATATGTTGGTGCCATATTTATCATAAAAACAATGATTAATTTCATCTGCCAAAAGAAATATTCATTTAAAAACGTTATCTTCATCATGATATGCAATGAGCTCAGCTAACATTTGGAGCCACATTCGGAAAATAGGTATGTTATATTAACTGAATACAAACTACTTACACATTTTCTTAATTTTCTTTAATTTCATTATTTTTTTAGTGTCAAATTATTATAACGATCACGCTTTTCCAGTTTACCATAACATGTTTCTCTAGCACATACTTTTTCGTCAATTCATTACATATTATCCGAGATCAGTTTTACGGATTTAACGAAAAGCAAGTGAATTTTAAAATAATATAATATACAACACTGGAATACAATATGAAAAATATTGCGAGTCCAATGAGGAATATGTTTCATTATTAATCAAAAGTTCTTTTTTTTTTAAAACCTATTATAAAACAACAAAATTTTTGTAACTCTAATAATTTGTTCATAATGACAGTTGATAATTATAATACTTATGCAAGTTAAAATTACAAAATAAATGGTCATTCTATTTTTTACGTAGATTCATTATTTTAAAAAAATTCTGAAAGGATTCAGATTGTAATATCACAATAAAGGCATTGTTAAGGCTTTTTATGCTCCCAGAGCTATCAATTTTCAAATATGCTGCTCTTGGACACACTCCTGCTAACATAACTTTTTTTTTTACACCTTTTTAACTTTATTATTAAGCATAGCTTTCCTTGTATTTATGCTACATAAAATTTAACAGTAAAATCACAAACTTTTTAAAGAAACCTATTTTTAGAATTTTTGATAGAACATTAAAAGTGATGCCATTCTTTTTTGTTTAAATTTTTTCCAGTCTTCTCTCAGTTAATTATATCAATGTTCAGTTTTCTTATTGAAATGACTTACAGAACTTTTTTTATCTTTTTAATTATATACATTAGAGATCAGTTTCTTTGCACTAACACCACATAAAATTCATTATCAAAATCACAAAACATTTAAAAACAGCATATCTTTTAGAATTACCATTAGAGCTTTAAGTGTTGCAAAACACTTTTTTTATATTTGCTATATTATTTCTTTAACAATAATACATGATGATAACATTTGGTTGCAACATCTTTTTATTTGTGTTGCTGTACATTTTTTAATATTCGCTACATTATTTCTTTAAAAATAATACATGGCAATAACATTTGATGGCAACATCCTTTGATTTGAATATTGATAGGGACAAAAATTAAGAATCGAGACTAATAGCCCCTTTGGTGATAATAATAAGTTATTTAAAGAACTAAAAAGTTTAGCAATGAGAGAAACATGATTTTTAAAAATCAGTTGTATTCCCCCGACATAGAATTTGGGGAAAATGTTTAATTTTAACCTTTGTCATTTGAAATATTGGAACTACTATCTCTGTATTATAGAGGAACAAGAATGTTGGATTGAGGGTTTATTCATGAAATAGTACTCTTTTTATCTATTAGTATTAAAAAGCACTATTTGTTTTCCTATAAGGTCACTTTTTTTCAAGCAAAGAATTTTTTCATAGCACAATTATCAGTTTCATACTGTAAAAAAGATCTTGTTGATTATCATGAAATTTTTTGTTATAATTGTTGAACATATACATAGATGACATTTTAATCTGCCAAAGTGATGAAATCTTGTTAGCTAATTTATCATATTTTAAAAAATTGCTGAAATCTCACACTTTTCAATAAAATTTGACAGTTACATGATATGCTGAAGTACTTCTATTCACTTGAATAGTCAGAGGAAAAAAATTGTGGAATTTTGCAACTGATTATTAGTTGCCTAATATTTTTCATCTTGAAAATAGTATGGCCTACTATTTTTCATTATCAATTCCATACACATTATAATAAACATAACTGGTTTTGTAATGCAATGTACATAAATAACCACAAAAATGATACTTTAAAAAAATATTTCTAATAGTAAATAACTAATAAAATTAAAATTATCTGTTCATCTTAGATATAGAGGTAGTCTAATATATAAGACAATAAGCAAACACAAACTTAGTTATTACCAATTTGTCCAATCAATAGCCAAATGAGGTTAGAGCAGATTGATTCCCTTGGATTATGGCTAAGTTGTTTCATTTATTGCCAAGTTGGTGTTTCATTTATGGTAACCTGAGTACTTTAATGTTATGGAAACCCAATTATGATGTAATTGGCTGTGTGATTGCTGTCAATTTGAATGATGGGACGAATTTTAAATATAAAGTACGTTATTTTGTGGTTTACACTGTAAAATAGCTGAATGTTGTAAAATTAATTTGAAGTTTCTGCACGATTTGGAAAGAAAAGAGAAAAAGCCTTAATTGACTGGTGTGTAAATGAAGGTTTACTTAGTTGCCATTATAAGTGTCCTATTTGTAGGAAGGAAATGCGTAAGGTCGAACGCTGGAAGAGACCTACATTACGAAGGATATTTTTTACTCTTATTTTTGTGAATTTATGTGGCAATGCCAGTATACAGATTCTAGTTCAGATAATTTTAGGAAGTTTTTGGATGCTGTTACGGAATTTTGTTTGACTGAAGACAGGGAAATTTGTAAAAAAGGTAAGTGGATATTTTCTTTGTGTAGCGCTAAGATAAATTTCCTTTTTTATGTTATTTCATTGTTTGATTTATAATGTAGTTTACTGAGATTATATATTTTTATTGACTGCTGCTTTGACTTTTTAAGTGAATACTGATTGACGTGGACATGGACAAAGTTAAGGGAATGCGCAATGCCTAGTTTGTGCAATTCTCTGATGTTTTTTAAATGAGAATAGGTCGATGTGTACATGGATACCGAGTTTTTGCAATTCTTTGACTTGTTATTTTGGATTTGTGTAGTGGCAATATTTCGCGCAAAAATCGACACTACAAAAAGACAAAATAACAAGTCAAAGAATTGCACAAACTTGGTGTCCATGTACTGCCAAATTCGCCAATTATCGCCTGGTGTGTTACAATTTTTCTCTTTCTAAAATGTTTACATTGCTTGGGCCTACTGTTTAACCCTCATCAAAAATAATTATTGTTTCCACATTATGAAACTCAGTAAATGAATTTTTCTCAACTGGGTTTAATACACTCAATATAATTTCATCATTAGTCAATGCGACATAGGAGCTTCCTCTTCTAAAATCATCCATTCTAAAACATTTTCTTCTCTAAAAAGTGTAGACAAAGCTGAAGTTCTATTTTAACAAAAACAATTTTGCTCCTTTTGCATGAGATAACATAAAACCTGCAACTTCACTTTCAATTTCAATAAAGAGTGTCAGTGGTCACACTAACTAATGATTGCTTACAAACCACTTACAAACAAGAAACTCAAGATTACAATATTTCAGTTTTAACAGGCATGACATATAAAATAATTTTGAAAAAGAAAAGAAAAAACAAAGAAAGAAAAGTATATATTCGCATTCCCTTCACTAATACATGGAGCTGTGACACAATTCAAACCCAAAATGAAAGTAATGCAAAAATAAGGCAGATACATAGCAGAGAGAGAGAGAGAGAGAGGGAAATATTTTGAAGAACAAAAGTTCTTTTATAAAAATGCATGAAAACATTTACTATAGACAAAACTGCATTTCCAACAGTGAAAGTAATTTTTAAATCATTTTTATGCTCTTAAATTAAAACAGAAACATAATACATTGTTTTCAAGTACCACATTCCATAGAATGAATTTTTATGCTATTTCTGTCATTACATTCAGTGTGTGCATACTATTAGCAATTATAAGGGCTAGAACTGAAATTTGAAGTTTATTACAAAAATTCGGTATCCTTCAGCCTCCTTTTCTTTGCAGTTTTCTCATTTTGCATTCAAGAAAAATCTCAAGAAACGCTAATCTTACACATCTATTTCTATTTGCTTTGTGTGAATTGTAAATAAACCAGTTTGAGCTTATAATACATTTAAAATTTGAAATGAGACTCTGAAAACCAAAGGACAAGTAAATTTTTAATGTATATTTACCATACATATTCAACATTATTTGTTAGAAATAGTGGAATATATATCCAAAAGCAGAGAATTATCTAAAAAAAAATTATTTGCAGAGATTCACAATGTGACCTATGTGTAATAACTATAAAAAGCATTATTGCACATGCAGAAAAAGCTGAGTAACTTAAATTTGCTTTTCAACAAAAATATATGTTAATGTAGCATACTGCTATGTTCTTACATAATTTTTTCTTGCATCAATTTTCAAACACTTACTGTTAACGTATACAATACGACTGTATAGTTTTTCCCAGCATTCTGCAATAATCTTTTTCTTATAGCCCTTAGAGCATCTTTCGGTCTGAAAAAAAAAAAAAAAAAAAAAAAAAAAAAAAAAGAATTTCATTTATAAATTAAGAGCAATAGCTTTTTTTACCATGAAAGTTAAACAGTTAAAAAAAATATGTAAATGAACTATTTATACCACATAATGAACATTATATTACAGTACTAAGTTCAGGATTCAGAATTATTGAAATCCTGGCAATTCCAAACCATTAATTTACATCTAATAACATGGCAAGTATATGCTATAAAAGTAAAAGTATGAAATGGTTGCTTGTCAAATAATGAGGCATTTATGATTTTAAGGGAACCAAAATTTACAATAAAGGCTTAATGGTAATGTTTATTTTGCTTCATTAAGCACCTTTTCTAATGTACATTATTTAACCAATTTTGCTTTTGTGCTAATACTTTATAAGAATTTTCTTGTTTAATTACATAGTTCAATTGTTAAAGGCCTTTAATTTAAAGAGACCACACATCCCGCTTTTTGGAGGACTGTCCCGCGTCCCACCGATATTTTAAAATGTCTCGCTTTTTAAAAAACATCTGCATTTCTTATTTTAAATGTACTGTAAAAATATATTACCTATTATTTATTAATTATTATAGTGAATATAAAGAAATAAAAACTTTCGATCATTGTTGTTACGTCTTGTCAAGGAATATGTATTGTCAACGGAGGAGCAGCTAGCATTAGCTGAAGGCTGAAGGGCTATTTGCTTTCCACACCATAAACCACAATCAAAATTTCAGATCAATTGATTGTACGTCACAAATGATCAAAACATTGCATGATAAAAAATTTGCAGGTGCAAAAAACAAAAACCGAAGCAATTACTTGTAATGTTTTTTACCACATTCGTTTTGACAATTGCAGAAAGAATTAGATTAAATGCACATTTATATCCATATATTATGATGCTTCCAACCACAGAGATTTAAAATTATTTCCCACAATTGTTAGACCTTTTTGATTCAGAAACAGGAATTAAAATTAGAATATTAGATTTTCTTTCATTGCCGGGTGAAACTTCATAAATAATTTTTGATTCAATAAGTATTATTTTAAAAAAGAATAATTTGAACAATAAAATTATTGCCTATTGTGAGGATAACAGTAATGCAAATTTTGGTGGAAAGGTTAGAAGAGGCAACAATAACGATTTTACGAAACTTAACGAACATTTCAACCAAAAAATTATTGGAGTATGTTGTGCAGCACACATTCTACACAATACTATTCAAACAGCCCCTGACTTATTCCCAGTTGATGTTAAAAATATCATTGCAAAAATTTATTCGTATTTATATATATATATATATATTATGCGTGTTGAAAGTTTAAAGGATTTTTGTGAAAGTGCAAAAATTGAATATAAAAGAATTATTGGTTACAGCAAAACATGATGGCTAGCTGACCAGCTGTAGCAAATATATTAAAAATATACGAACCACTGAAATCATACTTTTTATCACAAGATAAATGTCCAAGAATATTGCAGCTCTTTTTTGAAAATGACGGATCACAAATTTGGTTTCAGTTCATCCACAACCAAGCTACATTATTTCACAATGTTGTGAAAATTATTAAAGGGACAAAATTTCAATTATGAAAGTGTCAAATGAAATCAATAATTTAAAAACAAAAATTGAGAGAAAGAATTGATGACCTTTACGTTCTTTAAGTTATTCGAAAGGTAGGAAGAACAACTAGGTTGGAAGAACAAAGTGCAATTAAACGACCTGATTTTCTGAAAGAAGTCAGAAATTTTTATAATAACGGCTTGGAATATCTTGAAGAACAGACCATTAAATTTGAGGATATTAAAAAATTTCATAGGGCAACTTTAAAAAAGGAGATTTTATGGGAATATGAGGAAAAATCTCTTTAATATATTAGTAAACATTTTTCAAAAAATAATATTTGCGAAAATGATCTTTTAATGAGGCGTCATTGGTAAAAAGATACAGGGGTTGGACAAAAATATGAAAACACCTTTAAAAAAACATGTTTCTTTGCTTAATATGGTGTAGGAAACCCATTGGCATCCAAAACTGCTTGCAGTCTTCTTGGAATGGATAAATACAATTCCTGTATGTTTGCCAAGGGAATATTATACCATTCTTCCTGCAAAATGGTGACAAGTTCAGATAACGATGTTGGCGGTGGATAACGAGAACGCATTTTCCGTTCCAATGTAGACCACAAAGGTTTGATAATATTCAGGTCTGGTGACTGTGGTGGCCAGGGGAGATGGGACAACTCATCTTCGTGCTCAGAAAACCAGTCCTGGACAATGTGAGCTGTGTGAACAGGGGCTTTGTCGTCTTGGAAGACACCATCACCATCGGGGAACAAAGTTTGTACCATGGGATGAACTTGATCGGCTAAAATGTTCACATAAGTCTTGGCAGTCATGTACCCTGACACAGTTATCATGGGGCTAGCAGAGAACCACGATATGGCTGCCCAAACCATAACAGAACCCCCGCCATGTTTCACTCTTGGCAACAAGCAGTCTGTATTATAGGCTTGAGATGGCGTTCTCCAGACGTAAACTCGGCCAGAAGTGGGAAACAATGTGAAAAAGGACTCATCAGACCATAATACTCGCTTCCACCGCTCTATAGTCCAGGCTTTATGACTTAAACACCACCTTTTCCTGTTACAGGCATTAGCATCACTGATGAGTGGCTTCTCAGTTGCAGCACGGCCAGCAATTTCCTGTTTATGAAGCTCACTTCTAATTGTTTTAGTACTCACAGGGTTCGGTAACACAACATTCATTTCAGCAGTAACTTTTGCAGCTGTGGTCTTCTTATTTTTCGTCACAATTGCCCTTAATGATCGTCTGTCACGATCACTCAGGACACACTTTCGTCCGCGCTGTGATTTAGCAGATGATGTTTTTCCGCTTTTCAAATATGCGGAATAAACCTTCGATACAGTACCTCTTGAAACACTAAACACCTCGGCTACCTTGCTTACGGAAGCACCAACCATATGTGCTCCAACAATTTGCCCACGTTCGAAGTCTGTTAACTCTGACATTATGCAATGACAACCTCACATAACAGTACTCTGACAACAACTGAACTGTTTAACACATTTACGAAGTTGTATAGGTGGCGTCAGTAGTCAAAATCGCCAGCGATTTATTTCATTAAAATCAATCTTTCTTTTCAAACATGCATTTCACAAGGTGTTTCCATATTTTTGTCCATCCACTGTATGTTACTGATTAAAAAATTAAATTTTGGTTGTCTGCAAATGTGGAAACAGACAAAAAAAATGGACGGAGTTACTCCTTCATTTTAAACAGAATAATATTCCCTACGAAAATATTTTGAAAATTGTAGAACACGCGCTTTCCCTTCCAGGAACAAATGCAGCAACAGAACGTGTTTTTTCTAGCATCAATAAATATGGCCAATTGAAAAAAATGTTAATTAAACATTAAAAAACTTTAAAATCTGTACTAAGCGTAAATTATAATTTGACCAATTCGTGTGAGAAATTTCACGACATTTTAATAAATGATTCGAATCTATTGCAAAGTATTCATTCGGATAAAAAATATTACCGTGAAAGAAAATCATAATTTTTTTAAATAAAATTTTAAATTCATTAAAAAACATAATATTTAAATTATTGTTTTTACAAATATTTTTATAGTTACCAATAGTTAATAATAAATATATTTTTGTATATTTATAGACAAGTATATGAATGTATACAAAAATATTTTTTTGAATTATTAGTCTGCTTTCATAACTAAATTACAGTTTTCTTTTCATTCCATTTGTCCCGCTTTGTCTCAATGAAAATGTGGTCACTTTACTTTAATTGCCATATTAAGAATTTGCACTAAATTGTCAATGGAAATCTTTTCACTCTAAACAACTTCTTTGCCAACCTTCATTACTGGTGGTAATATTTTCTGGATTTAAAATCATGCTACAGATTTCACCATCTGTTAATTTTATTGATAGCTGGGGCACTGTCAATGTAATGATAGATTTCAGCTCTATCATATTCATTATTCATTTATCATTTCTTCATATAGTTGGCAAATTATCATTTTTTGATAGTGATATCTGAAAATTTTAAAGCTGTAGCTATGCTGAAACAGTTGTCAATAATAAAGAAAATTTTTTCATCATTTGATAATCCAACAGATTTCAAATATTATCGAAGCTTGGTCTCAAACCATTCATTCATTAATATTTGTATCATCAGTACTTATTTATTTGAATGATAAATGACCAAAAAAAATATTTACTCCATTGAACATTCAAGGCTGTAAATTTTTTCCAGTTGCAAAAATTATATTCAGTGTTAGTAACACCTCGCTTATTTCATACAGTGGGCCAATGGAGGAAAACAGCTGTATCATATATGATATGCTGAAAGCAAGGGTTTAATGACAACAATTTTATTTTTTTGTTTTTTTGTTTAAATGTGATTTATTATGGTGCTAAGTAAGGTGTTAATATTTGTTTCTGTTTGCAAAAAATATTGCACAAATGAGTTTTTTTTAGATAATTTCTCAGTTATTTCACACACTTTTTTAAATTCATGTAATGGTCATAATTTGAAAAATTCTGAAGAAAAAGTTTGGATATGACAGGGAAAATTCTGTCAGTTTAACGTATCCCATTAAGCTTGGATCAAGTGCATTATGAATCGAGAACCCATTCATAATACCTATTTTTGGCACCATAAGTGATCAGTACAGTTGGCATGCAAATTAGATAAATAAGGCAGTAGGATATTGTTGCGTTTTTCGCTTCCTGACACCAGTTGTTACGTTATTTTCTTCCTTCACGTTCATACCGGATTCGTAGATTTGGAATGAATAATGACGACACTTGATGAAGTATCGAAACACACTTTATTTAGCCAATGTTAATCAGGACAGCTCCAAAATCACGTTACAGTCATCGAACTGTTATAAACGTGCTGACACAATCAGCGACACAGCCTTCATATTGTCAGGCAATAGCAGTGGA